CACGTGGGCTTTGGAGGGGTTCTCCCATTTTGGCTCTCCGCCAGCTCACAGCTTCCAGCCAGCTCTGAGAGTGCTTTTTGGGTTTCCAGGTCGTCGGATCTGGTAGGACGTATTAAAGACTTTATTTCCCTATTTTCTCCCTGAGTTGTACATTTTCCTTATTTCCTTTTTCCCTTGTAAATAAACCTTTTATTAACCTTTTGTGTATAACTGTAGTGAAGTATTAATAAGTCCTTTTTAAGCGCGCGGGTGAGGACCCACAGCCAGGCAACCCGTTCAATATCGGGGCTGCCCTATAACAGAAGCACCTGCATAGTCACAGGTGGGCAGAAAGACTGCTGCACACAGACTGTCTTTATAGTCTTGTTTTTATTTGTACAGAATGGGTCTGTGTGTTTGCATATGGAAGGATAAGCATAACGTATTGCTTAGTCAATCAACAAATGCTTAGTTATGTATATCCAGTTCCATCCCCAACCTCCTTCTATGCCATCTCCAGCCTCCTAACAAGTGTCACTCGTAATTTCACTTCATTCCTGTGATTGTGCAGCTGCCAAATTTCCCTCCCTCTGGATTGTAAGGTACTAAAGTTCAAAGTATAAAAGAATGATTAGCTTTTGGTAACAGTCTCATGCAGTGTTCATGGAGTAGCACTGCATTTGTTCAGGTTTTGCCAATTGCTGAGAAGAGTCCAAACTCCAAGTGGATTAAGCCATAAAGTACAACTTCTTGGACTCATGTAAGTGGAAAGCCATGCCTTTTAACTTCAGCTTTAAGTCTAACTGGGTCCAGGGGCTCAAACCATGCCTCCCTTTCTACCCGTTAGCTGCACTGTCTTGTGTATGTTGGATTCAAACTGCACAAAACTTCTTTAAGGAGACTTGATGGCAGTGGGCTTTCACTATCTCATCTTAGCAACCTCTTTGGAAATGGTTCTTCTCTCATTCAGATCTCAGGATCTCTCCCATGGGAGATTCTAATTGGCCTTGACAGGTCATGTGCTCCTCTTTTAACCATTACTATGGGGAGGGAATGGAGAACTTGTACAAGGAAAGAAAAAAAAATTGCAGTAATCATAGACTGCCACACGGTGTCACCCAAGCAGAGGTTTCAGGCATGAATTGGACTTTGCCTGCTAGGCAAAAGGAGAAAGACTGCTTACATAGAAAAGTCTAGAAAATTCAGAAAAGGGTGAACCAGCATGAGATTTTCTTCCTGCTTTCATCACCATGTTGATACTGGGACTCCTCAGGAGAACCAGTTTCTGTTGTTTATCCTGGCTTTTACCCTGGGTAAACAACAGTTGGCAGATCACCCTGACCCCTCTAATCCAATTGGCATATCACTGTTGGCCTCTTACTAGTGTTGTAGAACAGGGAGAGGGGCAGCCCAAGCCCCGCAAACCTGCCTATTCTAAATGGGTTCTGCCATCCGCCGCATCAACACAAAACATATGAGACTTTAATGGGAAGGAACTTTAATTAGGAAACAATACAGGAAAGGCAAAGAATCTAGTTTCTAAATGAAGCACCCAAAGTTACCCGTCCCCTCGTGGGTAAAAGTCCATCCATATGGGATCGGCCCAGAACAAGGCCCCAAAGCCTGCTAAAAGTCTAAAGCATCTTCCAGTGGGGACCCACAGAAAAGGGTCACAAACAACCGGACAAGTCCGGAAGGAAAAGAGCAAAATCAACATTAAGATAAAAGCTGCCATTGTCACCTCCCCACAGGTCTCACCCATATCTGTCACCCAGTCCGTGACCAAAAGACAAGCGCAGTTTCTTCACGTGTCTCTAGGCTCCATGCGCCTCCTCCAGGTCTCCTGGCTCCATCCTGCTTCCTTCCTCAGTCTCTTCTGCAGCTTCTCCTCCTCCTGCTCAGCTCCACCCTCCCTTGGGTGGGGCAGGGAACCTCCCCCTTTCCTGGGGACCACCCTGTTACACTAGCACCTGCCCACATCCCAAGCGGGGCAGCCCCAAGCCAGTAATAGATTGGACTTGGAGAATAAACTCTCCAGCTCTTCTGATCCTGGCACACTATGAGATGCAGGCTGCCCACTTGAGGGCCCCCCTAGACTAACTCCTGGCTACCCACTCAACTGGCTACTCATTGATCCCTGCCAGGATCCTTCACTTGCTAAATCAGGTCTCTAGCCCCAGTGGGACTTCTTTTTTTTTTTAAGATTTATTTATTTATGCATATAAGGTCAGAGATGCGGGATGGAGCAGGGGATGAAAGGATTCACCAGAGACAAAGTGGGGAGCAGAACAGGCAGACTGAGTGAAATACACTGCTGAGAAGCGCATCGGGCGAGACAGGAGAGGTCTGCTTCGCCATGGGTTTCTCCCTGGCAGGCCAGGGATCGAACTTGTGCTGCAGAGGCTGGGGATTGCTTCATAGTGTGGTGCTTAGCCCCTTGTGTCACCAGGGAGGCCTCTTTTTTTTTAAGATTTATTTTTATTTACTTATGCATACAAGATCTGGGGTATAGGCCAGAGGTGTGGGGGTTGAGAGGATTCATCACAGAGTGGGGAGCAGAACAGGCAGATCCACAGAAGTACACTGTTGAGGGAGCAGTGAGCGAGACAGGAGAGGTCTGCTGTGCCATGTGGGTAGCTCCCTGGCTGCGGATCAAACTTGTGCTTCAGTGGCTGCAGATAGCTTCATAGCGCTGAGACTTTAACCCCTTGTGCCACCTTGGAGGCCCACCCCAGTGGGGCTTCTTAAGGTTACCTCCTGAATAAACTATGTACTCTTGTGTCTTCACCTGGGGGAGGACCCCAAACTCAAACATAAAGGACCAGTCAGTCCAGGATTATAGCTTCCACATTTGATCCATCCTCATAATCATGCAGGTTGGTAGAGATGATTACTCCTGTTTTTAGTAAGGGAAGGCGAGGAACTTGATGGAGTCACTCAACAACTTCATAGCAGAGTCAAGCAATCAAACCACTCTCCCCTTGCTGAATCCTGGGAGAGGAAATTTTAGCATTCAACATCTGTTTGTTTGGGTGGTTAGGTCTGGGCATTCCCATCCTTTTTTCCCCAGTCCCCTAGTGCCTGATAAAGGAGAATCTTTTATTGGGAATCTGAGCATCAAGGGCTCCCCAAACTGGCTCCCAAAAGCACAGGGTCTTTTTAGCTGGAAGAAGCCAGCCCTGGGTGTGGTAAGAAAAGGCTCATAGGTCAACGCTGATATTTGGAGACCCAGAGAAGGGTATTCACCAGAGGAGGGCATCTCTAGGTCATTTACAGACTTGAGATCCAGGCAGAGGAAGGACCCCTCCATGGAAAACTAGCTGGGCCCCTCCTGGGAATTTAGTCAGGCTCACAAGTGTGGGAAATACATGCATGGTCCCCTAGGAGAATCAAATAAATGTCTACATTCAAAGAAGTCATAGCTAATATTTGTTGCAGTGGGTTGAGTCATATTCCCTAAAACGATGTGTTCTAACATATCTAACCCCCAGAGACCTGTGAATATGACCTTATTTGAAATAAGGGCTTTGTAGGTGTAACTAAGGGTCTGAAGATGAGATTTTCCTGGGTATAGAATGGACCTTATCAAAGAAAGGACAGTTTAAGACACAGACACACAGAAGAAAGCCAGGAGAAGACAGAAGCAGAGATTAGAGCGATGTATCTGCTAGTCAAGGAACAAAGACTGTGGACAACCGCCAGAGCTGAGGGGGACCTGGGACAAATTGTCCCACAGAGCCTTCCAAAGGAACTAAGCCTGACTGACACCTTAAATTCAGACATCTGAGTTGAGTTGTATTGTTTTTGCCTTTTTTTTTTTTTAAAGATTTATTTATTTATACAAGCACTGGGTACAGTCAGAAGCGCGGGAGGGTGAGAGAATTCACCAGAGCCAGAGCGGGGAGCAGAGCAGGCAGAAGGACCGAAGCACACTGCTGAGGGGAGCAGCGAGCGGCAGGAGAGGTCTGCGCGCCATGCGGGAACGTCCTCCGGTGGCCGGGGAGCAGCCGGGGATCAAACCGGTGCCGCGGAGGCTGCGGGCAGCTTCGCAACCCAGCGCTCATCCGCTGCGCCACCGGGGAGGCCCTTGTTTTTGCTTTTTAAATTTATTTTTGCGTAGAAAAACTGAGGGTGTATTTGTATTGGGGGGGGCGGATTCACCAGAGACAGAGTGGGGAGCAGAACAAGGCAGGTTTACTAAAATACACTGCTGAGGGGTGCAGCGGGGGAGACAGAAGAGGTCTGTTGCGACATGTGGCTCCCTAACCAGGTATGGAACTCAGGCCGTAGTGGTGATAGCGCTGAGACTTCTTAACCCCTTGGCCACCAGGGAAGCCTGAGTTCTATTGTCTTAAGCCACGCAGTTCGTGGCAATTTGTTACGGCCGCCCGAAGAAACAAACATGTTTGCCTATTTACTTTGCTCTTTCTCCCAAATGGGTTCCCAAGCCCCACCTCAAATTTGTTCGCTGTTTCATGAGGCTGACACACAGTCGGTCTTACCTGTGTATTAAATGCTTAGTATGTGACAGACGCTGAAAGTGCTTTTCCGTTGTTTAACTCGGTTTATGCTCACTGCCACCTCCTGGAGCTGATACTATGTTAGGCCCATTTCACGGAGGGGCAAATTGAGGCTCAGAGGGGCACAGGCAGAATGCCAACCTCGTAAAAGACTTGCCTTGGATAAGGATCAACTACAATCATGAGAATCAGACGAGCAGGAACCGCCTGTCCCAAGAACCAAGGAGCCCCGACATCCCCATTTGCAAACTGGAAAAAATAACTGACTTCCTCCACCGCAGAGCACCGACCCTGAGGGCTCTTGCCTGCGCGCGCGCCCCTACCCACAAGGCCGCATGCGCGGGCGCACATTGCTCCGCCCCCTTTTGCAGCGCTCACCGCGACACTTTACGGCTCTCTCCTTTCCTCCGGCGGGAACGCGGTCCACCTTGTCCCTCGTGCCTAGCGGGTCCGCCTTACTCCGCGTAGATTGGTTGTCCGTCCCCGAACCCCGCGTTGATTGGCTCGCGTCGCTGCCGCTCCATTTCAGCCTTGTGGCGCCAGGCGGGGCGGCTACGGGCGGCAGCGGCAGCGGCAGCGGCGGAAGTGACCGGCGAGTCCGGTCCCCGCCGGCATCATGGTGAGGGCAGGGCGACGGCGAGGAGGCGGGGGACGCGGTCGTCGTGGGCCCTGGGGGTGGGCGCTGTGGCAGGGACCACGTGGAGCGCGAGCGAGCCCTCCGGGGCCCTGGTCCTTTCCCTGCTCGGGCCGGAGGAAGCAGGGGGCCCCCAAGCACATCGGTCTTGGGGGTCTTAGAGTTGGAACAGCTGGTAATCATAGCACAGCGGCCTGGCCTCAGTCTTTCCATTTTGCAAATAGGGAAACTGAGGGCGGGAAGCCGCCGTACGGTCCGGGGATTACGTGCTGAGTGATTTTCACTGGAAGGGTCTCCGAGTGCATCCCACCTAGTCTATAACTTGAGAGTGTTGTAGAGCAACCCCGATACAAAACGGGTCTGAGTCTTGAAATTAGAGCTAGTTTTGGAAATTCCAGGGCTTGAAAGGCCGTTAGAATGTCAGCAGCGCAAACTCCTGTGCCTCTCGTTTTCAGACTGAAAGACAGACCCAGGGAGGGGGTTTTCCCGAGCCTCAAAGCACCTTGAGCCAGGCAGAGAGGATCATCCTCCCAGTTCACAGAAGGAAAGATTGAGGCCCTGACAAGTAGCCCACCAAGGCCACACTGCCCACTGTTCGTGGCAAGTCGAATCTGAACCAGAGAGGGCAGGTACCCACATATACAGACGGGGAAATGGAGGCTGCCATGGAAGAATTCAGAGCTAGGAGAACTGACTGATCTGCACTAAGATCAGCTGGCTTTGCAGAGGTGGAAGGAAGGCTCTGTTCTTCTTGGCCTCATGGGATGGGCAGAGCTAGAGAGGCTGACTCTTCATTTTTTATCCCCAGTATGTTCCCAGAACCTAGAACAGGTCCTCAAATGTCCATTTTATTCAACATTGCTTTGATTATAGGGCTGATGCGGGTAAAAAATTCCCAGCTGATGTTGAATAAACTGATGTTATTTGAGGACCTGCTTACATTCTATGTCGTATTACTTAAAGTTGCAGTTTCTAAGAACCTGTGGAAAACATTGGGTGATGTACTGACTCCTGCCTTCAGCTGAAGAGTGTCAGGAGTGGACAAGGCATCATTCCCCCAGCTCTTAAGGTTATGGTGGAGTCAGAAACCGGGGTCTGGAGGAGGCTGAGGGTTGTTGGAGACAATTGAGAGTCGCAGGAAGCAATGGGGTCTAGGCCTGAGGACCCAACCCCAGAAGTTCTGAGGAACCTCAGAGAAAGGATTTTCTTCCTGAAGCTTTCACAACTTTCCTGACTTCCCCCTGAAGTGGCTGTCAGACCCTCTACTATCTTCCTCACCTCCTCCTGGCATTTTCCTTTTTCTCACCTGGTTTTAAGTTCTGGGAACTCCTCTCTGTTTCTGGCACAGTTTGGGAATGTGGGTATAGAAGATACAGGATGGGGATGTAGCCACTACCCTAAGCTGCTGTGGCCTTAGAAGACTCCGGATGCCACCTCTCCCCATCTCAGCTCCTCTTCCTATCTGTGGGGTGGGGTGAGTATCCCACTGCCCTGGTGACATGTGCCTTTCCCTTATGTGTTTGTTCAGCAAATATTTACTGAGTCCCTCTTGTGTGCCTGGTCCTGTTGGGTGCTGAACAAAGTCCACACCCACTGAGTTTTCCAGTCTAGCCAGGGAGACATAATAAACAAACAAGCTAATTAGAGACTGACTACATCCTATAATAGAAACAGTGGAGGGTGGCCCAGGTAGAAACCTTGTTCCCCAGATGAGGGTTTTACTAGAGCCTGGCCAAAGGAGGTGACTTCTGGCACCCCGGCCAGCTTGGCATCTGGCACCCCAGGCAGAGGGAGCTACAGAACAAAGGTTGGCAGCTGGGACAGGTGTGGTGTGTGGGGAATAGAAGAGATGTTTGGCTGCAACACATCAGGCCTGACTTTGGTCGCGTGGGACAGCTTATGCGTAGGTGCTGGTCCCATCTATGTCAGACTTGTCTGTGCTGCTTCATGAACAGCACTACCAGTAACAGCAGCTGAGAGCAGGTGGTAGCCCCAGTGAGGCCATCACCAGCATTGAGTATGCTTTACAAGGACATCTGTGGACCCCTGCTGCCAGGACTTTGCTGTGTGTCTCTGAACACATCCCAGCTCTGGCCACTGGTGCCTCAGCCACAGCTGGGTCTCTGCCTTTGGTGCTGAGTCCTAGTTCATTCTCATCTTTCAAGGCTAGCTGACCCCGTCCCCTCTTGAGATCTGGGAGGAGGGCCCAGGTGTCTCATCGCTCTGGTGCAGATCCCCACAGACACAGGAAAGCTGGCTTCTCCATAGTAAAGGCCCCGGGGCACCAGACCTGCACTGGGGCAACATCACATGGACACATTCCAAAAGGTGGGATAGGAGCACAGATTGGGCCCAGCCCACCCACATCCTCCGTCTGTGCCTGGAACAACCACCCCTTCTTCCTCCTTATCTTGCCCTTCCAGGAAGTCAGTGCAGGAAGTGGGATTGGGCCTGGCTTCCTGGCGCTCCCCACCCCCATATTGGTCTTCTCAGGAAGGCCTATGGAATATAGGATCCCCCCACCCAAGCCTTTCCATGGGGAACCAGGCACACTGAGGGGGTTGAGGGCCACCTTTGCCCCCTCTTCCCCAAAGAGGCCTGAATCTCCAGCATAGCACAAAGTGGGCCTGGGATTCTCTTACAAAGAGCTGGGGTTCAATGACTTGGAATCTGGTCACTTTCTAGTTGTAGGGCCCTTGGTGCATACTGTTTTTGTTTTTGTTTTTTTTAAAGATTTATTTATTTATTTATACATACATATAAGCACTGGGTACAGTCAGAAACGTGGGAGGGTTAGAGAATTCGCCAGAGCCAGAGCGGAGAACAGAGCAGGCAGAAGGACCGAAGTACACTGCTGAGGGGAGCAGCGGGCGGCAGGAGAGGTCTGCTCGCCATGTGGGACCCTCCTCCGGTGGCCGGGGAGCAGCCGGGTATCGAACCGGCGCTGCAGAGGCTGCGGGCAGCTTTGCAACCCAGCGCTCAACCGCTGCGCCACCGGGGAGGCCCCCTTGGTGCATACTGTAAGTGCTGTTGCTGGGCCCAGACTAAAGCATGGCTACCCAGGACTCCCTCTACAAGCTCAGAGGTTTCAGAGGTATGTGGACTGATTTGTGTCCCCAAAATGAAAAGAACTGATTTTTTTCCACTTACATTATAAAAGCAAAATTCAGGGGCCTCCCTGGTGGTGCAGGGGTTAAAGACACAGCGCTATCAAGCTATCACCAGCCACTGCAGCACAGGGAGCTAACCCACATGGTACGGCAGACCTCTACTGTTTCGCCTGCTGCTTACCCAGCAGTATATTTCAGTAGATCTGCCTGTTCTGCTCGCTACTCTCTCTCGTGAATCCTCTCGCCCTTCCACACCTTTGGCTTACACCCCAGTTCTTGTATGCAAAAATAAATCTTTTTTTAAAAAGCAAACAAAATTCAGTAATGATGGAAAAGAGAAACGTCTCAGAAGCTCACCTAACCTGGGTGAGTTTTAAGATTCTAACCTTGGGCCTCCCCGGTGGCGCAGCGGTTGAGCGCTGGGTTGTGAAGCTGCCCACGGCCTCCAGCGCCGGTTCGATCCCCGGCTGCTCCCCGGTCACCGGAGGAGGGTCCCACATGGCGCGCAGACCTCTCCTGGCGCCCGCTGCTCCCCTCAGCAGTGTACTTCGGTCCTTCTGCCTGCTCTGCTCCCCGCTCTGGCTCTGGTGAATTCTCTCACCCTCCAGCGCTTCTGACTGTACCCAGTGCTTGTATAAATAAATAGATAAATAAATAAATAAATAAATAAATCTTAAAAAAAAAAAAAAAGACCTAATTTAAAAAAAAAAAAAAAAAAAAGATTCTATCCTTTACCTTCCCTTACTGTCACCAGACAGTGGATGTTTCTTGTTTCTCACCTGATGAAATCCTGGCTTGGAAAACCTAGCTCAAATATGACTTCTCTGGGAGACTGACTCCCAATTGAGCCTAGTGGAGTTATTCCTGATCCAGTGAGCTTAGCACTCTGCTGCACATAGACCTGGTGAGGCCAGACTCTGTACCTTCTAGCTCTGGTGCCCAGCAAGTTGTCTGTACCTCAGTGAAATGGCTGTGATGATAACCAGATTTGATCCATCAAGGTGGATGGGACTCAGTGCCATCATTTGGGCAAAAGGCACAAGTAGCAGCAGGATCTGTGTGCTGTGGTGCAATTTATAAATGGGGGTGGGGGGAGGGATATTGCACCAGGAATGGTCAGTACCAGGGATAGGTAGTGACTTCCTCTGGGATGTCACAAGGCTGCCCAGAGCTTTCTTTCCTAAACTGGAGAACAGGTATGTGTCTTGGGGCTGGACAAAGTGAGGAGATTCATTAGGGATGAGGGGTGTGTGGTCCTGCACCCTAATGCTATGTGATGACTGATGTTCCTGAGATGCCCAAGGGACCCTGACCTATCCAGACACTGATCACACACTGGGTCATGTGCCTTTGTTTGCCTTTCAGCTTCCCTTGTCGCTGCTGAAGACAGCTCAGAATCATCCCATGGTGAGTACATGCAAGTCAGGGACAGTGGATTACAGTGGGAACCAGCCTCAGAACAGGGACAGGGACACCAGGGAAAGGGTGAAGGGCCTCCAGCCAAAACTGCTTCCTGCCACTCCAGGAAGCAGCAGCTCGCTCTCCTTTCCCTCCCACACATGTCAGGACCTGTGTCATTTCTGCTGCTTATAAAAGTGATTTGTATTAAAATTTCAGACGCTAGAGACACAGAAAGTGGAAGCCTGTCTTCTTTCCTAGCAGTATAACTAGTTCTTTGGTACATGCTCATTCAGACTTTGAACTTGTGCATGTAAACATGAATATAATTTTTTCAAACAGATAGGGTCACAGCATACATATTATTTCCTAAACAGCTCCTGTCCTTAACAGTACAGTGTGGTATCTGCCAGTATTTTTCTTTTTTCTTTATCATTATTCATATATAATTCACATACCTTACAGTTCAACCTTTATTTTTTTTTAAATAATAAATTTTATTTTTATATTCCCTCATACAATTGCAAACCCCCCATTCTGACCCCAATCCCTCCCCTCCCGCCCCCCCCCCCCAAAAAGTGTCTCTGGTTCATAGTTTTTTGTTGATTTTGATTTTCACTTTCTTATAGTTATTCATTTTCCTGGTCCCTTATTTAAGTTTTCTAGATTCCTGCTATGAGTGAGACCATCCGGTATTTTTCTTTTTCTTTTTGGCTTATTTCGCTGAGCATGATCCCTTCCAGCGCCATCCACGTTGCTGCAAATACAGTTCAACCTTTAAAGTGAACAATTCAGTAGCATTTAGCACATTCACCATGTTGTGCAACCATTACTTATGTCTATTCCAGAATAGTCCATCACCACCACAGGAGAGCCTATACCCATGACCAGTTACTCCCCCTAACCACTAATCTGCATTGTGTATGGAATTGCCTGTTCTGGACATTTTATATGAGTGGATCACATGCTCTGTGTCTGGCTTTTCAGCATATTTTTGAGTTTCATCTACATTGTAGCTTGTGTCGTGACTTGGTTCCCTATGATAATCCGTTGTATGGATGGAACCACATTATGCTTATCCATTGTCTGCTGATGAACATTTGATTTGTTTTCACTTTTTCATTCTGTGAATACTTTGGCTGCTGTGGACACATATGGATGTGTGTCTTCATTTATCTTGGGCAGATAACCGGGGTGGATTCTCAGCCTTTCCCTAGCAACAGCACATTATCGGAATGATATGCTATTCAGCTGTTTTTCAAAAAACACATAAAAATAGGCAAGTAAGGGCCTCCCTGGGGGCTCAAGGGATTAAGTCTCTTTACTGTTAAGCTATCAGCAGCCACTGCAGCATGAGTACGATCCCCAGCCAGGGAGCTACCCATATGGCACAGCAGACCTCTCCTGCCTTGCCCGTTGCTCCCCTCAACAGTGTGTTTCAGTCAGTCTGCCTATTCTGTTTCCCACTCTGTCTCAGGTGAATCCCCTCACCCTGACCCACCCCCAACCCCACACTCTGGCCTATACCCCAGCTCTTGCATGCATAAATGAAAAAAAAAAAACCCTCTTTTTAAAAAATAAATCTTTTTTGGGGCCTCCCCTGGTGGCGCAGCGGTTGAGCGCTGGGTTGCGAGGCTGCCCACAGCCTCTGCAGTGCCAGTTTGATCCCCAGCCACTGGCGAGGTTCCCACAAAAAATGAATAAATAAATAAATAAATCTTTTTAAGATTTAAAATAAATTGTTACAAAATAAATAAATGTCTTTTAAAAAGATGTATTTTATTTATTTATGCATATGAGAGCTGGGGTGTAGGCCAGAGGTACAGGGGTTGAGAGGATTCACCAGAGACAGAGTGGGGAGCAGAACAGGAGGATCCACTGAAATACACTGCTGAGGGGCCTCCCCTGGTGGAGCAGGCGGTTGAGCGCCACGCTGTGAAGCTGTTCGCAGCCTCTGCAGTGCGGGTTCGATCCAGGCCGGCTAGTGAGGGTCCCACATGGCACAGCAGACCTCTCCTGTCGCACCCGCTGCTCCCCTCAGCAGTGTATGTCATCAGCCTGCCTGTTCTGTTCCTCACTCTGTCTCTGGTAAATCCTCTCACCTTCCCGCACATCTGGCCTGTACCCCGGTTCTTGAATAAATTAAATAAATCTTTTTAAAAAAGAAAGAAATACACTGCTGAGGGGAGCAGCGGGCCAGATGAGAGAGGTCTGCTGTGCCATGTGGGTCAGCTCCCTGGCTGGGGATTGAACTCATTCTGCAGTGGCTGCTGATAGCTTAATATTGTGCTGTGACTTAATCCCTTGCACGACCAGGGAGGCCCAAAAATAAATAAATTTATAAAAAGAAAAACTGTTCTAGACCATCAGAGCACAAGCATATACCACCAAAATAATGCCTGCCTAACTACCATTATCCTAACCTTGCTTAGGTTAATGCTTGTCCCTTTAAAGATTTGTGGGTTTTTTTTTTTAATTGCACAGAAATAACCTCACTGTAGAAAGCCTACAATGGCCAGCAAGTGTATAGAGGAATCAGGATGAGTCGCCTGTAAGAAGGGCAGCTGGGAACCTGGGTGCTGTGTGCTGTGGCCAAGGGGCAGGAGGAAGCAGATTTTCTGAATGGGGACCACGACTGACTTGGAGCTTATCTCTCTCCAGTTGGTGGAGCTCAAAAATGGGGAGACATATAACGGGCACCTGGTAAGCTGTGACAATTGGATGAACATCAACCTGCGAGAGGTGATCTGCACATCCAGGGTGAGTGCCCCTAGAGTCTGCTCCTGTGCTGAGGACCAATACAGCCAGTTAGGTCGGGGGTGCAAGGAGTAGGAGAAACAACCTGGAGGACCTACTTAATGCGACTTTCTCATCTTGGCATTCTTATTAGTAAGTGGGGTGACAGCCCCTCCTTGGACCCTGCAGGGGGAATGGAAGGAAAGTTACCTCTGAGCCTACCAACTCACCTTGACCTGTCATCCTGCCTGGGGCGGGGCTTGTGGATGGGTTGGAGTCTTGGGTGAATAAAATCAGGGATTAAACTGGCTGTGGAGGAGCTGGGCTGAGGAGACCAGGACACCAGGCCCGCATAGTTGACTAGATTTTGCACCTGCTCAGAATCTGCCTAAGGCTGGCGGTGCTGAGATAGCCTACAGTCCTCAGCTGCTGTGTCTGTGGTGTTACCGCTGACCATGAAGGACTTAGTCCTGAGGCACACCGTGGACTACAAATCCCTACTGCTCTGCTGTGTTGTAGGAAGTGGCCTCTAGAGAAGGCTAGACCTTCCTCGCCTTTGCGCCTGACATTGACAGTCATCTGGCCTTATAGGCCATGGTGGTATGGCAGTGGGGTGTCTAAACCTCCAGGGGGTTAGGACTGCCCTAGGGCCCTGTGAACGAGGAAACTTGTTTACTCCAGAGACCTTAAACCAGAAAGCATAGGACCAGGAACAGCACTGGACAGGCCAGGGCTAGGGGTCTGCCCTTGCCCTCGGGGTGAAATGAAGATGAAGGCAATGGCTCTTCCCTCTGCCTTGCTCTGGGCTCTGTGTTAGAGCTTTCCTTCCACTCTGACTTTGGCAACATCTTCCCCCTTCTTAATATTACAGGGAAGGTAACTGGAGAGGGGAGCTCCCTTGAGGGGCTCAGTAGCCTGCTTCTTATGGTCCCAGCCTACTGGAAACTTCCTTTTGTTTCCCATGTCCGACTCTAAGCAGCAGGTATCTGGGTGGTTCATTGTGATTGTTGAAGACTGTGCCACCACACAGTCTTCATGTAGCCGAGCAAGGTCCTTCTGTATGTGGCCAATAGATCCGTATTCACTTCTGTAACCTGGAACCACTGAACCTTAGAGCGAGGTTAGTCTAGCCTCCATGGTCAGTTGACAGCGGGCACATGTAATTATTGCAATGGGAAACAGTGTTTCCAGACCACCAAAGTACAAGCGTACACTACCGAAAGAATGCCTACCCAGTCAGTGGCCACTATTATCCTAACCTTGGATGGCCCTTTATTTATTTATTTGTATTTATTTTTTTTGAAGATTTATTTATTTATTTGTACAAGCACTGGGTACAGTCAGAAGCGCGGGAGGGTGAGAGAATTCACCAGAGCCAGAGCGGGGAGCAGAACAGGCAGAAGGACCGAAGTACACTGCTGAGGGGAGCAGCGGTCGGCAGGAGAGGTCTGCGCGCCATGTGGGACCCTCCCCCGGTGGCCAGGGATCAAACCGGTGCTGCAGAGGCTGCCGGCAGCTTCGCAACCCAGCGCTCAACCACTGCTCCACCGGGGAGGCCCTATTTATTTTTAAAGATTTATTTATTTGGGCCTCTCCGGTGGCGCAGGGGTTAAGACACAACCTATGAAGCTATCCACAGCCTCTGCAGCACGAGTTCGATTCCCAGACAGCCAGGGAGCAACCCACATGGTGCAGCAGACTTCTCCTGACTTGCCCGCTGTTCTCCTCAGCAGTGTATTTCAGTCAGTCTGCCTGTTCTATTCCCCATTCTGTCTCTGGTGAATCCTCCCACGACCCACTCCCTGCGCCCCTGGCCTGTACCCCAGCTCTTGTATGCATAAATAAATATTAAAAAAAAAGTTTATTGGGGCCTTCCCGGTGGCGCAGCAGTTGAGCGCTGGGCTGCAAAGCTGCTGGCAACCTCTGCAGCGCCAGTTCGATCCCCGGCCTCGAGGGTCCCACATTGCGCGCAGACCTCTCCTGCCGCCCGCTGCTCCCCTCAGCAGTGTACTTCGTCAGTCTGCCTGTTCTGTTCCCCGCTCTGGCTCTGGTGAATTCTCTAGCCCTCCCGCGCTTCTGACTATACCCAGTGGTTGTATAAATAAATAAATAAATAAATAAATAAGATTTATTTATTTATGCATACAAATAAATCTTTTTTAAAAAGCATTTATTCATGCATACAAGGACTGGAGTAAAGTCCAGAGGTGCAGGGAGTGAGAGGATTCACCAGAGACAGAGTGGGAAACAGAACAGGCAGACTGACTAAAATACACTGCTGAGGGGAGGAGCGGGTGAGACAGGAGAGGTCTGCTGCGCCATGTGGGTAGCTCCCTGACCGGGGATGGAACTCGTGCTGCAGAGGCTGCGGATAGCTTCATAGTGTTGTGTCTTAACCCCTTGCGCCACCCAGGAAGCCCCTGGTCGTCCCTTTAAAGACTTGTGGGTGGATTGGTTGGTTGGTTTCAATGACACAAAAAATAACTTCATTGGGACCTCCCCACTCTGTCTCTGGTGAATCCTCTAACCCCCACACCTCTAGCCTGTACCCCAGTTCTTGTATGCAAAATAAATCTTAAAAAAAAAACCCCAAAAAACAGGACCTCCCTGGTGGCACAAAGGGTTAAGCACCGCCCTATGAAGCTATCCGCAGCCTCTGCAGCACGAGTTCCATCCCTGGCCAGCCAGGGAGAACCCACATGGCTCAACAGACCTCTCCTGTTTCACCCGCTGCTTCCCTCAGCAGTGTATTTCAGTCGATCTGCCTGTTCTGTTCCCCACTCTGTCTCTGGTGGATCATCTCACTCCCTGCATCTCTGGCCTGTGCCCCAGCTCTTGTATGCATAAATACATAAATCTTTAAGAATAAATAAATAAAGAATAACCTCACTGTAGAAAGCCTACAATCCCCAGCAAGTGGCATTGCTGAGCAGACCCCCCTCCTTGCCCTGGAGGTTGGAAGAGAAGGCTGGAATGAGGTGGGAATACACTCTGGGTCCTCATCTCTCCCTCAGGCACTGAGTGGGCAATAGTATGCAGAAACCCCTCAGGCCTGAGAAATCACAGGGAGAACTAGATTGGGAGGTGGTTGAGGCCATGGGCTACCCGTTAGCCCCAGCTCCAGTCTAGGACTGTATCTTTCTGTTTCTGTCTGGCTGTGATCTGCATCTCCATGGATTTATTGGCCCCTTGCCTACTCTCTCTGGGAAAGGAATGCCTCCCGACGTTCCTGTGTGAGTTGGGGGCTCTTGCTGTTCCTGGGAAAAGTTGGCCCTTGAACATTGCATTGGTCCCACCAAGCACCTCGATCAGGCCAGACCAGCCCAGCCCAGGCACTTCTAACAAGCTGTGCACTGGGGTTTCAAGGAGACTGGAGGCAAGGTCTGTGGAGGGCCAAAGTTAGGCATATAGCATGTACAAGGTGCTGGAGGCAAGACGCTTGCTGTGTGTATTCCAGAAAGTTCCATCTGGAAGGCAGGTCAGGTTGAGGACTCAGAAAGGGCAGCTAGGGTGGGGCTGGATTCCAAGACTTTGGGAGACACACTGAGAACTTGGACCTCATCCTTGAGCCAAGGGGGCCCTGGTTAGGTTCTAAGCAGAGAGATTTGGTTTGATTTCTAAGGGTGTGGGGGGAAGACTGGGCTTCTGGCTAAGGGCAACAGGGTGGAGCTGGGGAACAATTCTAATGGAAGAGCCCCAGGTTCCTGCCCAAGGGCAGTAGGAAGGAATGTGATGGGAGGCTCTGTCTACAGTAGGGAGAAGGCTTTGCCAGCCCTGTCTCTAGCTGCATTGAAAACTAGTGTTGTGGGGAGCTGCCCCTGGCGGGCTCAGACTTGCCTCCCCCATCCCTCGGGCCCTCCTCACCATCACACAGGGTCTCTATCCTGCTCACGCCCACACACACCACGTCAGGAGACACTTTGTGGGTGAAGGGATGAGTCAGAGCATTGGAGAGGGCTCCAGAAGGTGGTTCAGAAGGCTGCCACAGCCCAGCTTTGCCCTTTTCTGGGCCTCAGGCTGCAGGTAACCACCCACTCCTGTCTGGCAGTCTGATCTCCATGCAGCCCCATATGCTTCATGTGGAGGTTCCCAAAGTTCTGGTGAGATCCACAGGCCCCTCCCCAAGGAGTGTCCAGGCCTGAGAACTCCACAGCATACAGCCCGGGTCCTGGCATGGTTTGGGACCCGGGCCTGATTGGGACCAGGACATGAGGGGCAGATACCCCGCTAGCCAGCTATTGGGACACACTCCAGACTTGAGATGAAATGACATCTCCCTCCCCCAACAGGATGGGGACAAGTTCTGGCGGATGCCCGAGTGCTACATCCGTGGCAGTACCATCAAGTACCTGCGCATTCCTGATGAGATCATCGACATGGTGAAGGAGGAGGTGGTGGCCAAGGGCCGTGGCCGAGGTGGCCTGCAGCAGCAGAAACAGCAGAAGGGCCGAGGCATGGGAGGTACCGGTCGAGGTAGGCCCCTCCCCACCCATACCCATACTACAGAGTTTTGGGGGTGGTTTCCCTGCTGAGGTTGGGGGGGGAGGCAGCCAAAGCACGTGGAGTTCATCCAGTTCAGTGTTGACATTCCTGGCCACTGCTGTCACAGAGCCCTCCCCCCTTCCCCTCCCCACACACACAGAGCTGTGAGGCTGTGACTCACAGTGCTCCTCTGCAGGCAGCTGATACTGCTGTTGGCCGTGTGCTCCCAATGCAGGGTCCTGGCAGAGTCCTGGGAAACAGTGCTGACCCTCCTCCCACCGGTGGCAGTCCTCAGTTCCCTACTCTGGACTCAGCTCTGGGGGCCAGTGCAGTGCCCATGCAGACCTGGGACTTGACCCTTCATCTCAGTGCCCCTCCCCCCCGGGGGATACTCTGGACCTCCCTGAACCTGTTTTCCCTCTATAGGGAGGGCCAGGCAGCACCTGCCTCACCAGGGAGCTGGCGAGCACCCCAGCTCCAGATCTAGCATGGATCCTTTACATACTGTCACCACATTACACAAAGCCTAGTACACTTTTTGATAGACCCCTTCCTTGCCCCACACCAGATTATAAATCTGGCATAAAACTCATTGGTCCTGCAGTCAGCTCACACTGACTGTATGCCCTGCCCCTCCTTACCTTTCCCTGCCTAGCTTCTGTTCTTAGAGGGCTCTGGCTTTGTCTCTTCCCTCTACTGGCACCTCCTGCGTGCCAGGCTCAGGTCCCACTCCAAGAGTCAGAAGTGAGCCAAAGGGTCCTCTAGGCCCAAGGTTGCCAGGGCCTGAGACTGGGAGCTCTCAGGCCCCCGCCTGTCCCATTCCGGAGGGTCAGACCCTCAGTACTGAGGTCTAACACTGTCGGAGAGCTGTGCTGACAGGGAGGGACTCCCTCAATTGTAGGTGGAATCTCTCGGAAGCCCCTGAGCAGGCGGCCCTTGGCAAAGGTGGTCTTGCCTGCAAGAGATGAGGTTGGATAGCCCCTGCCAGCAGTCCCTGCTCCATCTCTGCTGGAAGGGTCTGTACACATGGATGTGTGTCCCCGTGTTGCCCTGGTCTTTCCAGGGCACATGTGGCATGTTTGGAAGTGAACCACCTACTACCATTACTGGCTGACAAAGGTCTGAGGGTGGGGTGCTCCCTTGTCCCCACCTCTGAAACTGGACACACAGAAGCCCCACTCATTTATCTCTTCTTGGCAGGTGTGGGCATTATATAGTGCTGAGGGAGGGAGGCCTGGGTCCCCTGATTCAGGTCCCTGACTCTGAGCCGGGGGTCTCTGCCCCACTCCTCAGCTAAATCCTGCCTCTGTCCTAGCTCTGCTTCTTACCTCTTCTTGGAAGTCCTGGCTTTGTCATCTCCTAGAGGACCCCCAACCCTGACCGTAGGAAGCCTGTTCCTGACTGGGCACCCACCTCTGTCCTCCCTGGCACCCTTGCACCACAGGGAACCTGGTTTTGTCCCCTTGTCACACTGAGAATGCCCATGCCTGCCTTGGTCATATACTTCACCCCAGAATCTTGGCACACACACACCCCCATCTTAAAGAAGAGGAGAGACTTGGGTTAGGTGATTCGACCAGAGTCGAAGGTTCTGGCCAGAGTCCTTGCCCACAGTGGGACTGCTGGGCCCAGCTCTGCTGCAGCATCCACTCTTCCACAGGTGTGTTCGGCGGCCGGGGCCGAGGCGGGATCACAGGCACAGGCAGAGGTCAGCCAGAAAAGAAGCCGGGCAGACAGACGGGCAAACAGTGAGCTGCCCTGCATCCTGCAGAGACTGAGCGCTGGCTCAGCTCCCACCTGAGGCTGTGTTTCTACTGTCCGGTTCAGAAGGAACAGAGACATGCTGGGGAAGCCCCTGGCCTGGTCTGTGGTCTCCTCTTTACGTAAAGTCCTTGTTTTTTGCCAGCACTTCTACAGTTGGAAATGCTGTCCATTGTTTTTGGTTTTGTGAAGTTGCAGCTGACTTGACTCCTAGAAGATTCTGTGTGTTTCCTTAGCACCTTTTAAAAGTCCCCATTCTTGTTTTGAGGGCAGGCTTCTTCCAAGCAGGTTTGTTTTGCATTTGAGTTAGATCCCCTTGTGGCAAACAGATGGGATTTATTTGATTGACAGCCTTGAGTTTCCTGAAACACAGACCCCAGAATTGCCTTTTCAGAATAAATATGGAGAAACACGTGTCCCAGAAGCTGTACCAGGAATGCTGTTGGCCCCTGCCCTTTGGCCTTCTGTCTCCTTTGTGTTATTAAAATAAAATCAAATGCAAACTGTAAACTGCAATTCCACAATTCCTTTTGAAACACCAGGCATGTGGTATCCTTAGGAAATCACAGCCCTGTGAGAGAAGTTTCCTGTTGAGGACTGTGGTCCTCTCGCATTTCAACAGGAGATAATGGTTCTATGTCCCTCAATGTCCTCTTAAGAAAGAAGAGTCCAACTTCTGGACAGTTGGGGGCCCTGCAGCAGATTTGTCTGTGACCATCCTTCGTAGGGATAATTGTGCAGAGAGATGGGGGAGGATAATCCCAGAATGGCACCCACAAGACTGTCCTGGCCACCACCATGCTGCCCTTCTTCCTGTCCTGTTTTGCAAGCACCAGCCACACCTGTGTTCACAACAGAAGCTGTGACAGGCATTGACTAGAGGAACGCATGAGATGCTCTTTACTCCACACCCCTGCGTGCCCACACCTTGGTGATTTGCCTGATACATTGAGCCAACGCGTTTGCAAAATGCTTCTGGTGACAAGGTCCTCAAGACAGATTGTGCTTTTGTGAGGGGAAGATCAGGGTCACAAGTGCTCAGAAGCCAGACTGGGGTGCCAACCAGTTCTGGAGTTGAGGATCCTAATCATCACTTTGTTGAGACCTGTTTTGAGGGGTGATTGGAATAAAAGGCATGTGGCCCAGAGACTCCCACGTGTCAGTCTGCAAAGTGATCCTGTCATCTAGCAGAGTTCTGAGTTAAAGACATTTTAGACCTGTATCCGCAGCTACCCCCGCTGCACCCGCCCTCATCCTTGCTTCCCCGTTGTAAGACTCAATCATGAAACAGCATTTTGGCACAAATTGGGGACAGGGGTATAGGGACAGGGGTCTTCGTGTGACTTGGGAGGGTTCCCAACAAGCTACATGACCAGAAACACACCTTCCTCATCAGGATGCGGGTGGTGGTCTTGGAGAGAGTGGGCTGTGTCTTAGCGGTGCTGATGGGTGGAAGGGACAGACCAGTGTGGGGCGAGGGGGTAGCGTGCACAGCTGCCCTCCCCCATATCCCTGGATGCAGGTGCCCATAGAGGCCTCTGGGGAATGGGATCCTCCCGTCTGGTAAAAGTAGGGCTTTGATTCAGTCCAGGCTCTGGAGTCAGGTGTCCTGCTGTGTGGAGGATGGAAACCTTTTGAAGGTCCCACTTCTGCTCCTGCAGGAGTGGTGGCTTCCCTCTTCTAGCTCTTGACCTGGAATATGTTCTGATGTCCCCAGTAACCCTTTCTCAGTTTGAGATATGTGTGCTAGGGTTCATTCCACCCTGTGCCACCAGCCAACCCTGACCTTTCCTGCCTGGTAGCCCAGCTCATGGGCCAGCCCTCCACAGCCACCGTATGGGCTTCTGGAAGGCTCTGTCCTGAGCCATGTGTCTGGTTGGCTTGGTTTTTACGATCTTCCTGGTTCGGTTGCAAGAAACTGGCTTCAGCCCCCTCAACCAGAAGAGAAACCAAAAGCGCAGACTTAGTTCCTGAACACGGGGCCTCAATCTTTCTGCCCTTCTGACAGGTCCGTTGCTGGTATCTGCCACAGTCAGCTGACTCGGGCAGCTCCCAAGCAGGAGTGTGGGTGCTTTAACTGTAGGTGATTCCCAGCCCCACCTAGGGCCTCCCCCTGGAGTTGGCTCCAAGTGGTGGTCAGAGAAGCCCAAAAGCCAAGGTGTGACTCTGTCTGGGCCCTCTCAGCCCCCTTTCCGGAACATGGGTGTAGCATGGGCTCCAGCAGCAGCCCCAGAAATGGCTGTGGGAGGGCCTCCCTGTTGCTTTCGTGCAGCATCCCTGCCTGTACCACCTCCACATCAATTCCTCCCTCCCTCTCTCCAACTGCACCTGCTGCTCCCAGCCTAAGTCTGCCAGGAATCCCTGTCCCTAGCCTGCCTCTCCTGGTGGGGTGATGGCCCTTGTGCTCTCACTTCCCTCCTAACCCCATTCAGCTGGACGCAGGCTCCTGGCACTGCCTGGCATAGGCCACCTGTGTTCCCAATGACTCTGACATGCCCCGCTATCCTCTACCGTCCCCCTTAGACAAAAAGGCTACCCATCGGGGGTAGAGATGACCTGATGTGTACTCAGAACTCAGTGGGAGAAGCTGGCCACCGCAAGGAAGCAGAGGGCTAGGGGATCAGGAACTGGGGCCAGTCTCAGAGCACCACCAGCCCTGCCCTTGCACAGTGCTACAGTACAAGAAGCAAGGGTGGGGAGGAGAGGTGACAGGCCAGAGGGTGACATTGAGGGTGGCAGGGGAGCCGCCCATCTAGGACAAGAGTCTTCCATAAGGGAGCAGCCAGCGCAAAGGTCCAGCACAGAGTGAAAACTTAAGCAAAGTAAGAGAAGCAGGAAATGGGTCAGATACAGTCCCTGATCAAGACAGGAAGCTACAAACACTGGAACACAGTGAGGCAAGGGTGGAAACCAGGAGACCAGAAGGAAGTGATGCTGAGGACTCAGCCCAGAGTGGAGGTCACAGAGAGGTGTAAGGGGAGTCGAGAGAGGCCAGGCAGCAGCCGGCTGTGGCTGTGGTTCTACAGAAAGCCTGAGAAGCCGCTGTCCAGAAGCACGGAATAGGTGTAGGAACAGCAGAGCAACGTCCCTGAACTTCTGCGGCCTGTAGGGCACACGCAAAATCAGGGTCATCAGATCTAGGTGCATGATCCTGATAGCAGCCCAGTGTGTGCCAGGGAATTCCATGGCGAGCACAGAAAGGAGCAAGCGACCCACCCCAGGTCACAAAACTCCAAAGCTTCCAGAGCTCCTCCCTCTGTGGCCTCCTTGAATTTGAAGGATCCATTTACCTTTTCTCAGCTCAGGTGTGGGACAGACTCGGGAGCCCAGAGTGAGGGCAGGCAAGATGGACTCCTGCTTTACAATTCACTCCTGACTAGCCTCAGGGAGGGTCAGGGTTCAAGGTGCCTGGCAAATGCAACCCCTGTTGGACCTCAGTTTCCTCACCTGTCAGCAGGGCTTGGAGTGGACTCCACCTCGTGTTGTTGAGAGGCTGCGATGAAGGGAGGAGGCCTGATGCTCAGCAGGAGCTCCCTGCATGCCTGCCAACATGTCAGACTTCACAGAGCCTGCTGAGTGTCAGGAACCTCACCTGGGACCCTCTCCATCCTTTTGAATCTTGGGATCAGGGCGATTGGTGTTTCGTCAAGGGGGGCTCTGGGCAGTTGTGCCACATGCTAACCTGACCTCAGCCAGGCTGTATCGGTGCCCCAGAGGCCAGCACCAGACATCAGGCTGGGGGGGGTGAGCTGTCACCTCGAAGGTCCCCAGTCCTGCCCTGCGAGCCACCTCCTGGCCTGGACTTGGCCACCCAGCGTGACTCACCCCTGCCCCGCCTCCGCTGGAACCGGGCACTGAAATAGTCACCCAGCTCACTCTCGGGAGTGGCCCTGGAAATATTTCAGGGCTGCATTCAGCGCCTAAAAATACTCCAAGCGTTGTCCTGCGTCCTCTCCTCCCTCATTCCCTTCTCTGTTCCTTTGTAAACCATCCCTGTAAACAGCCCGGGGGCCTGTCCCTCCGCCCTACCCCCTCCATCACTGAGTGCCCCTAGCAATTAGGGTCCCCAAGTGCCCAAGGCACGTGCAGGGCAGAACAGTGGCCTCACTCCCTCTCCACGGCCATGGAGAGAGTTTCACGTTGATTTCCCTGAACCCTCTAAAAGAGTGGCCTTTTCTACATCCCCCCACTCCCTCCCTAGAAGTCTCTTTTCCTTGGTAGGGGAGGGAGGGGCACAGTGATGCTGTTCAGGGAAATGCCATTACTCAGTGGTTTTTCTTAAAAATCAGAAAATGGTTTTTGCTGTTTGCAGTTATGAGATAGCCAGAAACAGGTTCCCCCAGACAGGACCCCCTGCTGGACTGTTCCATCACCTCCCCACCTACTGCCGGGGTACCCCACATGTTATAGGTCTTTCTCCCTCTCTGGGGGTGGGGGACAGACTGAACCCCCCTATGGCACCCAAACACCAAGCCACGGAACCTCCAAGACACTCAGTCTTTTTTTTTTTTTTTTTAAATAATAAATTTTATTTTTATATTCCCCCATACAATTGCAAACCCCCCATTCTGACCCCAATCCCTCCCCTCCCGCCCCCCAAAAAGTGTCTCTGGTTCATAGTTTTTTGTTGATTTTGATTTTCACTTTCTTATAGTTATTCATTTTCCTGGTCCCTTATTTAAGTTTTCTAGATTCCTGCTATGAGTGAGACCATCCGGTATTTTTCTTTTTCTTTCTGGCTTATTTCGCTGAGCATGATCCCTTCCAGTGCCATCCATGTTGCTGCAAATTGCACGTGTTTATCTTTTTTGAATGCTGAGTAAGGGGAGCGGCGGGCGGCAGGAGAGGTCTGCGCGCCATGCGGGACCCTCCTCCGGTGGCCGGGGAGCAGCCGGGGATCAAACCAGCGCAGCAGAGGCCGCAGGCAGCTTTGCAACCCAGCGCTCAACCGCTGCGCCACCGAGGAGGCCCGGGACACTCAGTCTTAACCATCAAGCACCTCGACCTTTCCAGTGGCCAGAGGTAGGAGGAGTGGAGCAAAGGAAGGTCAACAATGCCTTGGACCTGGGGCCAGGGTCTGCTGCAGACTTTCAATCACCTGAGGACTCCATCTGCAGGGAACAGTGTGGGCCAAGGCTCCTGGCAGGTCATGACTAAGTCTACATTTTAGTCAATAGATTTCCTTTGTTTTTTTTTATTCCAGTCTTTTATTACTACTATTCTTTTGAGGTAGGATTCACTTTAACATAAGCCATTTTAAAGTGGCACAGAAAAAAAATTTCCACAAATTAAAATGTCTTAGCTAGTCACGACAAACAAATTACACACACAAGCACAGAATCTTCACAAAGCCCAAGCCAGTTTTTCAACAGCAAATCGACATATGAAACAAACACACTAGAGAAACCAAAAATCACATTTGCGCTTATGGTAGCCAGTGCCATAGGGAAGCCCAGTTTCCCCATGGGGCTGACTAACCACGGATGGCTCTGTCCTAAATCACGTTGGACGCCAAATCTGTTATACACATCTATGATGTGCAGCCACCAC